GTGAGGAGAGGGGCTGCCCTTCAAGGCAGGCAGCCCCAGAGAGTTGAGGGGACTGCCCGCGCCGCGTCCCAGACACGGGTGGGGCGTCCCTGCCCTCGGGCGTATCCACCGCGTTTAGATGCAAGCCGGCACCCCGTGCTGCCGCTGGTGCTCCTCGCCTCGGTGGCCCCGTTGCCTGCCCGCTGAACTACGCGGAGGTAAAAATGCTGCTGCAGGCAAGGGAAGTCTCGCTCAGCGTAGACGTGGAAAAGCGGGAACGTATATAGTATATGCGTACGGATGTCTCATGTGGCATACGGGTTTGCTGTCTCCTGTACGGCCTTCCGAATTGTGGTCCCGAGGCGGCCGCTCAAGTCGTTCTGGGAGAACATGTGCTCCAAGTACGTTCTTGCGCTGTCTGAATTGCCAGAAATACCTCCCCGTAGTAGCAGTATAATAAGTGTGCGTTTCTGCAGTAAATGCATCCTTTAACTGTTTTATACTGTTCATGTGTATGCTTTTAGTAGCGTATTTCTTGATTTCTTATCCTCTGCATTTCCAAGCAAGAATGTTTAAACAGAATTAACTTGGATATAGTACTGCCTGCAAAAAGGCAGACAATATGGTAGCTTTAAAATGCACCCGATAAAACCAGATAGACTCTTTCTTAAGTGCATTCTTGAGTGACTTTTTTTTTCCTGACAATAAGATGATCTCTTTCTAGAAAATTCAAAGTCTACTGGGAATAACAGATGTTAGCTCTGTAAATACCCTTGTAAAATGATGCTTCAGTATCATAGGTTTCTGACTTATTTCATTGTTTGTTCTATGAATGGCTAATGCTTTTCAATTTCTTGGTGTGCTGCTTCGAACATATACGCATTTTCTACAATGCAGTATCTGTTATCATTTCTCAGATATTTGGAAGCAGTTCCAAATATTTGTCTTCACCTTTTTTTGATATTTCATTACTGATGATGCTGTTAAAGACTAGCTAGAGCTTGACAGATGCTTTATGCATTAGATAAGAGATAGTATGTAGACGAATGGCCCCTGAAATGCTAGGATTAGGAACAGATAGCTACATCTTTATTATTCTTTTAAACTGTCTTCTTAAAGATTTGTGGCATGCAGCAAGAACACAGTTTAATGCTTTCAGTTTTAAGATTTCCGTTTTGCAAATCTGGGTTTACAGGGTTCCTGTGTTAGCATCGCACCCCGACTTCATATTGGCGGATCGTTAAATATCCTCAGCTAACCTCAGTTTCCAGCAGCCGGGCACAATATAGCTAATACATCAGCTGGCGATAGCTTAGTTTTGATGGCTATATAGTTGGCTGTGGAAAGCCAGTTTGCATAACCATATTTAATTTGCTATTATTTTGTTAATATAGCAGCATCATATTAGGTCTCTTGGGGCTCCAGCTGAGGCCAGTGACAGGGAACTTGTTCACTTACAAAGTTAGTGGCAGCACTTACTACAAGAGGATTTACTAACAGTCACTGTGAAGGAAGGAAAAAGAAGACTGAGAACTGGCACACCAAAACTGAAGGTACAGTGTTGTGTGGAAGAGCTGGGGGAACAGCCTTGGGATCAAAATAGGTACCATAGTGCCATACTTGCTGGGAAAGAGAATCATAGAATCATAAGGAATCATAGAATCATTTAGGTTGGAAAAGACCTTTAAGATCATCAAGTCCAACCATTAACCTAGCACTGCCCAGTCCACCACTAAACCACATCCATAAGCACCACATCTACGTGTCTTTTAAATACCTCCAGGGAGGATGACTCAACCACTTCCCTGGTCAGCCTGTTCCAATGCTTGACAATCCTTTCGGTGAAGAAATTTTTTCCTAACATCCAATCTAAAACTCCACTGGTGCAACTTGAGCCTGTTTCCTGTTGTCCTATCAGTTGTTGCTTGGGAGAAGACACTGACATGCACCTTGCTACAGCCTCCTTTCAGGTAGTTGTAGAGAACAATAAGGTTTCCTCTCAGCCTCCTTTTCCCCAGACTAAACAGCTCCAGTTCCCTCAGCTGCTCCTCGTAAGACTTTTGCTTGAGACCCCTCACCAGCTTAATTGACCTTCTCTGGACATGCTCCAGCACCTCAATGTATTTCTTGTAGTGAGGGGCCCAAAACTGAACACGGTATTCGAGGTGTGGCCTCACCAGTGCCGAATACAAGGGGACATACTTGGGTCTTGAGGAATCTGATGTCCTTGTCGTGGGAATAGGCTCTAGACAATAGTAACGTCTGCAAGCTCCACCTTTAGGTAGCCTGAAGTCTACCGAGACCCTTGGGACTTGTTTTGCCAGCTGATCCTATGTGGCTTGCAGCTCGGTGCCTTATTTAGGGCTTTGGAATCAATTATCAAAGGGTCTGCTGGCTAGGGACAGACATGTCAGTAGAAATCAGGCTGCCCTAATATGGTTCCCATTGATTTAGCCAAGGTCATGCAGTCTTGCATGTAAGTCTATAGCAAAGCCAGAAATTAAATCCAGAACCCTAAGCTCCTCTGTATTAGCTTAACTATAGCTTCATCTTCCTGTCTCTCAGTAGCATTGACAAAGATTTTTCTGTTTACTGAAGCTAATCAGAATTTTCATTATGTTGCTGTAATCAAAAAAAGTAGATTTACAAAACAGATGTCATGCACAAAATATAATTATTTGGGGTGAAATACTTTGGCTTTTTTTGGTAATCTTTAAAGGTAAAACATGGTTTGGACTATTTATCTAGTTTCTGTTAATGGAACAACATTTCATGAATATTATTGACAACAGAATTTTAGGAAAAGAAAAATGCACCAATGTCAGATAGGTTCAGTGAAAGGCTTTGTTGTTGTTCTTAAGGAAATCAGTTTTGTTCAGTGTTTCACCAGCTCTCCATCTGCTCAGACTGTGGAAAATACACAAACAAGAGGCCAGAGCTTCTAGCTCTTACTGAGTCCTGTGCTACAATCTAATAGCAGAAGGCTCCATCAGTAGCTGTTGACCATATGTTGGTTTATCTGGCAAAGGAAATACACAAGTGGCTTATAGGGTCAGGACTGCTTTAGTAATCCTAGGGACTGATGAGTTAGTATGTATGCCATTTTGAAGCCATTATACTTTGCTTATATACAGTTTATGATATAGCTGTAAACATGTGAAATTGAGATAGTGCTTGGAAATAGTTATAGATAATGGTGAATTGGGAGTGACCCAGGAAAAAGCTGGTCCAATACTGGTAGAAAACTGAATGTACCATACCAGCCTTACTGGGAATAATGTAATAAGCCTAATGGAAAATGGCTCTGCTTTAATGTGATTTCTACTGATGGATGGCTAAATAATGATACTCCTTATGTCTTTAATTATTCTTAACACCTGTGTCCAATCAATGGCAACAGCTTTTGGGAGCTGCTGGACTAGGAGAAGCTTATGCCTAAAACCCAGAGACTCATTTAGACATGTAAGTATGTGAATGTGCATGTATGCTTATACACATGCATACGATAGAACTGTAATTACAGAAAACCTTTTTATCATGATGCATAATTTGAAATGAGGTGTGCTACTGCTCGTGAAGAAATGAAGTCACAAGTTTCATCTTTCATGTAACTGTAGTATAGAATGGGCAGGAGGAATGGGACACTGAGATTTACAGTAGCTGCAAATGTAAAATGGAATACCATTCTCTATAACGTTAAATAATTGGAGCTTATGCAACGGATTTTTTCCTATGAACATTGCATCTGTATCTTATTTATGAAACAGTGTGCATCTGTCCCAACTTTCCTTGAACCCTCCTGTACTATGGCATTTTTTGTACCCTACTTGAAAATTAAAATTCTCCTCCATGAACTTAAACTACAGAATTAATGAATAAGCACATTATTTCATGGTATTCCCTCAGTCACCATGCCAAGAGCTAGATTAGCTGTCTGTTAAGGTCAATGATTTCAATGGTATTAAATCAGTCCCGAAAGTATAGTATTGAGTCCAGGTTCATTTAGTAGTTTGTTGTGTCTTATGATGCTAACCCCCGATTGTACATGACCTGTCCATTTGCTTTACTCCTAAGTGATGTACAGTAGCTCTCTTAATACCATCTTGTATCTGTTCTGAGTGAATGTGCATTTTGCATTCTTGGGTCAAAGCCCACAAATTAATGCATTTTTGCAAAACTGGTAATTTGAGAAAGTGAGCTATTTACATTACTAATGAAGCTGTCTCTCCCATGTTGATTATTTTGCCAAATAATTTTCTGAGTTCTGTGTGGAAAAATGTCAGTTGTTGGGCAAATGTCAGCTTCAAGTCCAGCCTGTTCGTGAGAATTCTTGCATTTAATGCCCGACAATAGGTCAGAAGAGCAAGTGCTGGATATGGTCTCTACCTGCCTGGAGGTGTGGGTTTTTTTTTATAGATAGCATTTTGGATTTTCCTTGCAGCACTGGATTTTCATAACTGCCCATTACCTTGTAGGGAATATGATGTCTGACTAGGCCTTTGGCTTAATGAAGAGCCGGCAGTGAATTTGCAAATGAGTTCAAGGACAGCTTTCTTGTGTGTATGTTCATTGAGTTCTCCTCTTTCAAATTCTTTAACACTTACCTCCCGTGGTATATGAAATCAACCAGAAAGTTAAATTGAGTTGTTCATTATTTTATTTGCTTAAAGGATTCTGTATGTACAGAAGAAGGTCAGGCTTCTCATTGCATCTGTTTATAAAGTACATTGCACGCATTGTGGGTTTTCTGTCTCCTCCTGTTCTGCGTGCCTCTCCCACTGTATGCATACCACTCTTTTATCCTCTTCTATTTCCAGCACTCCTGAATCCAACACCTCCTCTTGCTGGGACACCAGTATGCCCCAGTCCCTTTCCTGGCTGGTGGAAGGAGCTTTGTTCATTGCTGTGTGCATCCCCTTTCTCTGCCACATGTCAGGGGCTCCATCTAGGTTTTTCTGTGGCCCATTTCCCTCGTGCTATAATCCCTATTAATCTTTCCATGCCAGGGACACTGTGCCCCAGGGTTTTCTTCTGTTACGGGTAACAGTTGTTTGATCCATTGACTGCTACAGCAGCTTGGCTGTGAACCAAATATAGAGGGTACAATGTAAACCCCACTTTTCTTGTTTGTCTGATTCTCTACTAAAATTAATAGACTTCTGCTCATCAGCATCTAGAATATTCTTTGACCAAACTCAGCACTCAAAAGTTATTACACTTAAGGCAAAGTAGGGCTCGAACCAGTAGGGATGTAGACGCATGTAATTTTTCTTTGACTGTGAAAATGGTTTAAGGTTTTCTTATCTCTGGCCTCTTGTTTTTTCCCCGTACAGTCAGTCTGTGGGACCATGTTATAAAAACATAGTGGCAAAATGTCTTGATTTAAGAAATACACTGCAAAGAAAATGTACCAAATGACTATGCCTTATGTGAAATCTTGCT